CAGAGCGTCCGCCGCGTGGGGAACTCCAGCCCCCCCTGGCGGCCCGAGGGAGACGCGCAGAGCCCGCACTGCCCAAAGCGCTGCGGGTGCCCCTCGGAACAGAGCGAGCAGCTGGGCGCTGGCGGGGCGCCTGGAACTCGGGGCTGGGGCAGCAGGGGGCCGCGGGCCGGGAGTGGGGGGCACAGGCCTGGGGGGCTATCCCAACCCTGGGAGCCAGAACTCCTGGGCTCTACTCCCAGCTCAGAAAGGGAGGGTAGTGAGGGGTAGTGTGCTCACTACAGAGCAGAGCCATAACTAGGTATTTTTATGCCCCAGACAAAATATTAATTATGTGCCCCCTCTCCTCCAAATTAAAAAATGTCTCTAGTTTACTAATTATGTATCTTTAAGTCAAGAAAAATCAACTAAATCAACAGTATAGTAATATAACAAATATATTTTCAATATTAGGAACATGTTTTATAATGTCTATGAATGGAAAAGTGTTGTAGGGGATCAAATACCTATGCCAAGCATTAGCACCAAAATACCTTTAATATTTTGACGCAGCATTGAGTGTGTTGACAGTGTATTCGCATGTACGTGCATTGAAAAACCACTGCATCCACTGTGAACTGTTTTCTGTATTCAACCTTGGTAATGCTGTAAAGGCTCAATGTGCCCAACGCTCCGTGTAAATTCAGCTTAAAGTGAAGCAAGCTGAAGCCTGCTGCCTCTCAAGAAAATGTGTAAATGGAGACTTTGCGAGCCTTTCAGCATGACTGTTTCGTTTCCTGTCAGGCCTCGAGACAGGCTCGTATAAACTGGGACTTAGGTTAGCACATGTTGCACTCTTTACTTTTGTATCTTATTATTTTTACTTATTGCATCTTTGTGCCCCTGATTATGATGTGTCCAGGGCAAGCGGCCCACCCTTGTTATGGTACTGCAGCAAAGGGGCTGGGAACTAGGACTCATTCTACGTCTACACTGGCATGATCTTGCGCAAGAACTCTTTTGCAGAAGAGTTCTTGTGCAAAAACTCTTTCCAGAAGAGAGCGTCTACACTGGCATGTGTGTTTGTGCAAGAGATGTGCTTGTGCGCAGCAGCATCCATGCCAGTGTAGATGCTCTCTTGCGCAAGAAAGTTCTGCTGGCCATTTTAACCATGGGGCTTTCTTGTGCAAGAAATTGATGTTGCCTGTCTACACTGGTCTCTTGCGCAAGAACAGTTGCGCAAGAGGGCTTATTCCTGAGCAGGAGCATCAGAGTTCTTGCGCAAGAAGCACTGATTTCATACATTAGAACGTCAGTGTACTTGAGCAAGAACTCACGGCCAGTGTAGACAGGCAGGAAGGTTTTGCACAAGATCACGCCAATGTAGACACAGCCATGAGGTGTGGGGGGGTTGGTTGCAAGAGGCTGTGGGTAAGGAGTGAGGAGGACTGGCAGATCTGGGGGGGTTTCTGTGCCTACAGAGACTAGTGGCATCTCTCCCTTTTAGCTCCTTGTTTAGCTTTCCCCCTTCTTGGCAGTGTAGTGAGAGCGCCCCCAATCTCAACCACCAAGCAGGAGGGTCAGGTAGCACTGTCCAACCCCCATCCTCCCTGGCCAGGATATAGGGCCAGTGGCCCCAACCTTTCCAGAGCCTTTCAGGAGTCTTGATTTGTCTTCTTGTGTAGCCCCAAGTTTCCCTCACATATAAGAACATAAGAACAGCTGTACTGGGTCAGACCAAAGGTCCATCTAGCCCAGTATCCTGTCTACCGACAGTGGCCAGCACCAGGTGCCCCAGAGAGGATGGACCGAAGACAATGATCAAGTGATTTGTCTCCTGCCATCTCTCTCCAGCCTCTGATAAACAGAGGCCAAGGACACCATTTTATCCCCTGGCTAATAGCCTTTTATGGACCTAACCTCCATGAAATTATCTAGCTTCTCTTTAAACTCTATTATAGTCCTAGCCTTCACAGCCTCCTCTGGCAAGGAGTTCCACAGGTTGACTACACGCTGTGTGAAGAAGGACTTTCCTTTATTAGTTTTAAACCTGCTCCCCATTAATTTCATTTGGTGTCCTCTAGTTCTTCTATTTAGGGAACTAATAAATAACTTTTCTTTATCGGCCCTCTCCACACCACTCATGATTTTATAGACCTCTATCATATCCCCCCTCAGTCTCCTCTTTTCTAAACTGAAAAGTCCCAGTCACTTTAACCTCTCCTCACCTAAAAAAACCTGCTTTCAGAGTGGGCAGGTCTAAGACAAACATGCTGAGCACATTCTGTCAGGAAGGACAGACAGGGAAAAAAGGGAGGAGGGGTTGCCTTGTATATTAAAAATGTACACACTTGGACTGAAGTGGAGATGAACGTAGGAGATAGCTGTGTAGAGAGTCTCTGGGTTAAGCTAAAAGGGGTAAAAAACGAGGGTGATATCATGCTAGGAGTCTACTACAGGCCACCTAGCCAGGTGGAAGAGGTGGATGAGGCCTTTTTTAAACAATTAACAAAACTATCCAAAGCCCAAGATTTGGTGGTGATGGGGGACTTCAACTATCCAGACATATGTTGGGAAACTAACACAGCGAGGCACAGGCTATCCAATAAGTTTCTGGACTGCATTGGAGACAACTTTCTGTTTCAGAAGGTTGAAAAAGCTACCAGAGGAGAAGCTGTTCTGGATTTGGTTTTAACAAATAGGGAGGAACTAGTTGAGAACTTGAAAGTGGAAGACAGTATAGGGGACAGTGATCATGAAATAATAGAGTTCATGATCTTAAGGAAAGGTAGAAGGGAGACCAGCACAATTGAGGTTATGGATTTCAGGAAGGCAGATTTTGATAAGCTCAGAGAACTTGTAGGTAAGGTCCCATGGGAAGCAAGACTGAAGGGAAAAACAACTGAGGAGAGTTGGAAGTATTTCAAAGGGACGTTGTTAAGGGCCCAAAAGCAAACAATTCCGCTGTGTAGGAAAGATAGAAAATATGGCAAAAGACCAGCTTGGCTTAACAAGGAGATCTTGCATGATCTCAAAATAAAAAAGGAGTCATATAAAAAATGGAAACTAGGACAACTAACAAAGGATGAATATAGGCAAGCAACACGGGAATGCAGGGGCAAGATTAGAAAGGCAAAGGCACAAAATGAGATCAAACTAGCTACAGGCATAAAGGGAAACAAGAAGACCTTTTATAAATACATTAAAAGCAAGAGGAAGACCAAGGACAGGGTAGGCCCACTGCTTAGTGAGGAGGGAGAAGCAGTAACAGGGAACTTGGAAATGGCGGAGATGCTCAATGACTTCTTTGTTTCGGTCTTCACCGAGAAGTCTGGAGGTGTGCCTAACGTAGTGAATACAAGCAGAGAGAGGGTAAGTTTAGAAGATAGGATACACAAAGAACAAGTTAAAAATCACTTAGGAAAGTTAGATGTCAGCAAGTCACCAGGTCCTGATGAAATGCATCCCAGGATACTCAAGGAGCTGATAGAGGAGGTATCTGAGCCTTTAGCTATGATCTTTGAAAAATCATGGCAGACAGGGGAGATTCCAGAAGACTGGAAAAGGGCAAATATTGTGCCCATCTATAAAAAGGGGAATAAGAACAACCCAGGAAATTATAGACCGGTCAGTTTAACGTCTGTCCCAGGGAAGATAATGGAGCAGGTAATTAAGGAAATCATATGCAAACACTTGGAAGGTAATAAAGTGATAGGGAATAGCCAGCATGGGTTTGTGAAGAACAAGTCATGCCAAACTAATCTGATAGCTTTCTTTGATAGGATAACGAGCCTTGTGGATAAGGGAGAAGCGGTGGATGTCATATACCTAGACTTTAGTAAGGCATTTGATACGGTCTCGCATGATATTCTTATTGATAAACTAGGCAAATATAACTTAGATAGGGCCACGATAAGGTGGGTGCATAATTGGCTGGATAACCGTAGTCAGAGAGTTGTTGTTAACGGTTCTAAATCCTGCTGGAAAGGGATAACAAGTGGAGTTCCTCAAGGGTCTGTTTTGGGACCCGTACTGTTCAATATCTTCATCAATGATGTAGATATTGGGATAGAGAGTACTCTTATTAAGTTTGCAGATGATACCAAACTGGGTGGGGTTGCAACTTCTTTGGAGGATAGGGACATAATTCAAAATGACCTTAGCAAGTTAGAGAAATGGTCAGAGGTAAACAGGATGAGGTTTAATAAGGAGAAATGCAGAGTGCTCCACTTAGGAAGGAACAATCAGTTCCATACATACAAGATGGGAAGCGACTGTCTAGGAAGGAGCATGGCGGAAAGGGATCTAGGGGTCATAGTGGACCACAAGTTGAATATGAGTCAACAGTGTGATGCTGTTGCCAAAAAAGCAAATATGATTCTAGGTTGTATTAACAGGTGTGTTGTAAGCAAAACTCGTGAAGTCATTCTGCCGCTCTACTCTGCACTAGTTAGGCCTCAGCTGGAGTACTGTGTCCAGTTCTGGGCGCCACATTTCAAGAAAGATGTGGAGAAATTGGAAAGGGTACAGAGAAGAGTGACAAGAATGATTAAAGGTTTAGAGAACATGACCTATGAAGCCAGGCTTCGTGAACTGGGCTTGTTTAGTTTGGAAAAACGAAGATTAAGGGGGGACATGATAGTGGTTTTCAAATATCTAAAAGGGTGTCACAAGGAGGAAGGAGAAAATTTGTTTCTCTTGGTTTCTGAGGACAGGACAAGGAGTAATGGGCTTAAAGTGCAGCAGGGGAGGTTTAGATTGGACATTAGGAAAAAATTCCTAACTGTCAGGGTGGTCAAATATTGGAATAAATTGCCAAGGGAGGTGGTGGAATCTCCCTCTCTGGAGATATTTAAGAACAGGTTAGATAGACATCTGTCAGGGATGGTCTAGACAGAGGCTTGGTCCTGCCTTGAGGGCGGGGGGCTGGACTCGATGACCTCTCGAGGTCCCTTCCAGTCCTATGATTCTATGATTCTATACTGAACAATTGCTGACTTTCTCATTTTTGCCATACAATTTAATTGGAATGTAAATATTGTACTTACATTTCAGTGGTTGGTATATAGAGCAGTATAAACAAGTCATTGTATGAAATTTTCATTTGTACTGACTTTGCTAGTGCTTTCTATGTAGCCTGCTGTAAAACTAGGCAAATATCTAGATGAGTTGCTATACCCCCTGGAAGATCTCCCAGGATACATGTCCGCTGCTAAAGGGTTTTTAGACTGGCTGGTAAGAGGTTAAGGGAAGCAGCAGAATATGTGTGACAAGAAGAATGTACATATTGGCGAGTAGATTTATGATACAGCTGGAGCCTTCAAGGCAGGGTGACCATATTTCCCAAAGGACAGAGTATGGGCCTAGACTAAGTGCCTCCCCAGACTCCCCTCCCAGGACTGGCCCAAGCTGCTGGTTCAAGCACATGTGAATACATCCCCATGGTGCTGGCTGGGGCTCCTCACCCAAGCTGCCTTCCCCTTGCACACAGCTGGGGCTAGCTGGGGTGATGGCTTGTCCAAACCCTGCCCACCTCCTCCATGGCTGCTTGTTTGAGCCCTGACTCCTCCCCAGTGTGCACAGCTGTGGTGGCTGCCCACCTGAGCCCTGCCTCCCGCTCACACACCATGCACAGCTGGGGTTGGTGCTGGCTCACCCAAGCTCTGCCTGCTTTCCCAGACATGGACCAGGTGGCTGCACACCCAAGCCCTGTGCACAGCTGGGGTGGCTGCTTGCCTGAGCCCTGCCTCCCACCCACATGGGGGCTGGCATTGCTGCTCATTCCTCTGCACATTTCTCCCCACTGTTTTTGACAGAAGTGGACTTTTGTCTTGTTTGCTCTTGGCAACTGATCAAGTCAGCAACAGCAAATGGGACAAATGCCCGCTTTTGCCAAAAAATGGCTGGGGAAGGGCTTAAAATGGTTCTGTCCCAGCCAAAACAGCCACCCTACTTCAAGGGGTCATGCTGAGAAAGGAGGGGAACCAACCTCCCCCACCATGGGAACCACTGTCCTGGCTTCATATCATCCTTCCTCTCCAGCTGTCCCCAACCCCCCCCCCCCACACACACACACAGGTGGTTGATTTGATCTGTGGAGGGGATAATCTTGGAGCATTTAGTTAATACTTTGAGATAGATATTCTTCTGCCTGGAGACAGCCCTCCCCCTCCTCAGTACTTGCCCAGCTTTGAGACTCAGCTGCCTGAGGTGGGGCACAGGACCTGTTTATACAAGGATTCCCTCCTTATTTCTGAGACACAGTGTCCTCTGAGGTGATGCACAGGGCATGTTAATGCTGGGTTTACTGGCATAGCAAGCTGAGCACTGGTTTTGGGGAGAGCACTCTTTGCTGAGTCATGCAGGATGCCTGGAATGGCAGCATGGAGAGAGAGGTTTGGCATTGCCTCCAAGCACCCTATCCCAGGCTACGTCTAGACTGGCATGATTTTCCAAAAATGCTTTTAACGGAAAACTTTTCCGTTAAAAGCATTTTCGGAAAAGCACGTCTAGATTGGCAGGACACTTTTCCGCAAAAGCACTTTTTGTGGAAAAGCATCCATGGCCAATCTAGACGCAGTTTTCCGCAAAAAAGCCCCGATCGCCATTTTTGTGATTGGTGCTTTTTTTGCAGAAAACACTACTGTGCTGTCTACACTGGCCCTTTTGTGCAAAAGTCTTTCGGAAAAAGACTTTTGCCTGAACGGGAGCAGCATAGTATTTCCGGAAAAGCACTGATGATCTTACATGAGATCGTCAGTGCTTTTCCGGAAATTCAAGCGGCCAGTGTGGGCAGCTGGCAAGTTTTTCCGCAAAATCATGTGATTTTGCGGAAAAACTTGCCAGTCTAGACACAGCCCCATTGTTTACTCTGGAGCATAATGGTCCACTACTTATGATATGTAACTTGTGCTTGGGCTTTGGCTCAGAGAATGGGAGCAACAGAAGGCATGTCTTTAAGAGATATAATAACCAGAGGCTCTTGTACCTTTGGATAAGGAGGGTGGTCACTTGGCTGTCAACTTACCATAGTGTGAGGGAGTCACCCAAAACATTTTCAACCCTACCAGGTAAAATGTATAGAGTTATTCTTAGATAAACTATCCTGTGGTAGATGCCAACCCCAGCTGTTAAAAAAATCAGGAGCCACACTTAACAAAAATCATGAGATTATGTAAGAATAATAGCTTGGGGGGGGAGGATTTTGCTTTTTTGAGCCTTTAGGATGCACCGGGGTCACATTTTGAAGCTTTCTCCACAGCAAGAGAGCTAGAAATTCATTTTTCTTTGAGAACTGAAGGCTGAAAGCATCGCAGATTCACTTGAGTCCAGGAGCTGCAGCTTTAGAGAAAACAATCAAGATCATGAGGAAATAATGAGTGAGAAAGCAGGGGTCTGCGCAGAAGCAAAGGAAACGACTAGGAAGGGGACAAGGCGAAGGATTCCGTGTAGCTAAGGATCACACCTCAATGCGTTGGGTAGGTGGGGGGGGGCTTCCTCTTGTGTGCCCTAAATGTCCTTATAAGGAGAGGACGCTGCAGGAGGCGGGGCCTTTTTCTGTGCAGCTGGTTCACGCCCTTATTTGGAAGCGACGCAAGGAGAGGAAGGACAGCGCCACAATGGAAGGGGGCGGGGTCAGGGCAGGGCTCAGCCAATCAGCAGCCGGTCTTCGGAGTCTGATGCCCTAGAGCCTGCGGCCGCCTGCGCTCAGTACAAGCCGACCTGGGCGCTACCTGTGCTGCGTTGCGCCGCCCCGCTCACGGACACCCTGATTAATACAAAGGCTGTTTTATCTCCAGGCGCGGTTCCAAGCCGCAGCTTGGACGTCGGCCTCAGGGAGGCTCCCAATGCCAAGCCCCTTGGCTCCACTCCCGGGGCTCGGCTCCCACTCCCGGCCCGCTCTGCACCCAGAGCCAGGGGGAACTCAGGCGTGAGGGCTGCCCGCAGCCCAGCGCCCTGCAGGCGAGGGGCGGTGGTGATCAAACGACGTGTCCTATTATTTCGGGGGGGGGGGTCTGTTACCCATGATGCACTGCACGCAACTGCAGGGCACCCGCACTGGGGTGTTGCAGACGCGGCAGCGTCTCCCTGATCCCAGGACTACATCGCCCATGACTCCCCTGCCGATGTCTCCCGTGGCTCTCCTTCGCTCGTGCCATTTCCCCGCGCTTTGCGGCTCTTTCCCGGCGGCGGGCACGGATTCCTTTTCTCTGCGTGCCCCGCGGCGCGGACTCTATTTCCCTGCATGCTTCGTGGCCGGCGCCGCCCGGAAGTGCCCCCTCCCCCATAAAGCGGAAGTGGGCGGCCGGTAGGCTCGGGGCGGGGCGATATTTGGTACCGGCAAGTGCCCCCTCCCCCATAAAGCGGAAGTGGGCGGCCGGTAGGCTCGGGGCGGGGCGATATTTGGTACCGTTATCTCTTGAGAGAGGAGCTGCAGTATAACGGACACCGCGCAGCCCGGACCGCGATCCCCCTGCCCGCAGCACCATGGTAGGACCCCGGCCCGCCGCCGCCATCTTATGGCCCACGCCCGCCATCTTGCCTTTGGGGCGCCTACGGGAGCCATAGGGGATGGGGGAGCCTGGCGTACCCGCCACCCTCTGTAGGGGGCGCCTGTAAGAGCGATCGGGGGCCCCGCTGCCAGCTCCAGGGCAGGAATCTGCTCTCGCCCGTGGGGCAGGTGGGGCGCTGCTCTGTTCTGGGTTTCTATGAATGGGATCTGCAAGGGGAGCCTCTCCCCGTATGGGGTCTATAGGCGGCTGTATGCTCCCTTCTGCGTCGGAAGGCCCCTGTAGGATCCATGGGCGAGGGGTTTCCTCCACCCCCTATGGAAGGTACCCCTGGGTTTCATGGGGGGGGACCTCCTCCTTTTTCCTGTATGGGGTTGGGATCGGCATCCCTATGAGAGGATTTTATAGGCTTTTTATGCGGCCTGTTTTGGCCATTTCCCTTATAGGTGCAAGTGTAGCAGGATGCTGATGATGCACCTCTGAGTGAGTCCCATGTGGGCCTGGCCCCTTCTCCTATTCTCCAATGCGGGATGGGCTAGGTATTGCTCTCTTTCTTGAGGCATGTTGTTCCGGGGCTGCTATTGCATCAGAGTGCGGGATGGCAATGGGCGATCCCCCTAAAACATGGGGTTTGAGGCTTGCCAGCTCCCCTTTGATCCATCTCTTCTGCCTGATGCCCTATGTGTATGGGATCCTGTGACTTCAGGGCTCCCCATGTCTGCAACAGTTGAGCTTTCTATCCCAGGCCTTGCCATGGTACAGATGGCCTTTGGTGTGCCAAATTTTGGGGATCCCCTGCTGGGGATGTTGGCTGGATGTAGGAGTGGCTGGAGATATCTTTGGGCCATAAGAGGTACTTCTGACATTAACATCTGAGTCTAAGATGAAACTATTTTGTGCTCCACATTGTCCTAGCTCCCCCCAGATCAGCCAATCTAGTGTCCTGCTCTCAACTGCCTCGCTCAGTTTCTGCTCCCCACCATTACCCTTTGATAATGCCATGATGGTGGGCAAGCGTGCTGCTCTGCAAAATGTCTGATTCTCTCTGCCTTGTGCTCCCAGCCCTGGTTCTCCCACCTTGCATTGGCCAAACCTGCTTCACCTAGTGCCAGCAAGGAGCTCTCATGGTGCTTAGCGCTCTGAACTGTCTGAGCGGTGGGAGTGTTCCCTTGCAGCCTGTAGAGCCCTCCCACGCGGAGGACAAAGATGCTAGGGGGATGGGGAAGGGGAGTGGTGCTTGGTTAGCCTAATACCCAGGCTCCTAGCATTGCCTGGCTGGGGATTAGTGGTGAGCAAAACTTGGGGTGGAGGGTACAGGAGAATCGGGGGGGGGGGGGGAGAAGGGTGATCAGCAAGACCTGTGAATAGTCTCATTTCTTTGGTAGAGCCAATAGCACTGACTACTTAGGTCTTTGCCATGGATTCAAACGGGGCTTCTGGGCTAGGGAACAAAAGCCCTTTAGCCTCCTATGGGCCCACTCAATTAGGAGGCTTCGGGGGGAGGGGGGAGCTATCCTGGCTGCATCAGCCTTGCTGCAGGAGGGAAGATATTGACTACAGTATCTAGGCCTAGGCTGGGGGATCTGATGATTCTCTCACTGGTCCGTGTTCTGAGCCCTGCATTGTCCCCATGTCCCTTTCATCTCCTCCCAGAAGCGGCTGGGGGAGCCCGGGGAGCTATCCTGGCTGCATCAGCCTTGCTGCAGGAGGGAAGATATTGACTACAGTATCTAGGCCTAGGCTGGGGGATCTGATGATTCTCTCACTGGTCCGTGTTCTGAGCCCTGCATTGTCCCCATGTCCCTTTCATCTCCTCCCAGAAGCGGCTGCTGGAGCACAGTGGCTTGTGCTTCCCCTGAAGCAGCCTCCCTTCTCCATATAAGAGCATATCACCCTGCTGATTTGCCGGGCCCCTCTGCTGAAGCCAGACTCAGCTGACTGGCTGGCTGGGGATCTTGGCTGGACCTTTGGTCATCCAGGGAGACCTGGGCTGGGACTTGCATGGAGCACTGAGTGGTTAGAATTTGGGGTGCCTCCAGCTACTCAGATTGGCCCCTGTGCTGTCAGGCAGTGGAGTGCAAAGTGCTATGTCAGTGCCCCAAATAACAAGGCTCTCGGTCTTAAGGTGTCTAATGGGGGGTGGGGAAAAGGGGTGGACTCAGTGTCAAGTGCTGTGCTCTGAGTACCAGGCCAGGAAGGAGGGTGGAGGCTGGCTTTACTGCACCAAGAGACAGACTGGCAGTTGTCTTGGTGGTGGTGTGGGGAGGGGTAGCTAGTGGAAGAAGGCTGGGGTTAAATGGGGAGGATGAGTGGGAGGTAGGGCACAGGGTGAACAGGGACTATGGGGTAAAAGTTGTAGAGGGGTGATTAGTCTCCTCTTGAGGTGAATGGGGGCTGGTGCTATGCTGTGTAGGAAAGGCCCGGGCTGCTGGCTGGTGATGGGGAAGCAGCGGGCACAGCCTCCTGCAGAGGTCATGTGTAGTGCTGTTTCCTGCATGGGGTTTCGGGTTCCCTTGCAGCGCCTGTCCTGGGTGCTTGTGTAAGGCACTGATGCAGAGCTTTCCATTGAGCGCTCTTGTAGTTGAGGTCTATTTGGTTTGCTGCGGGCCCTTGGAGTGTGTCTTCTCTGGTCCTGCTTGTGTAAGCTGCAACTCTGCATCTTGCCCGATTCCCTCTGTGCTCCAAAGCCCATGGCAGCTGCTGGGTTAAATCTGCTGGGTCCATTGGCTTGGTACCTGGTGAAACAAGTAGCCCCCGAGACCTCGTGGTGGGGGCAATGGTTGGATTACCCCAATAATCCCCCTTTGCAAGGCTTCCCTTGTGACGAGCTGCCCTTTGGAGCTAGGAAACCCCTGTCTCTTGCTTGTGGCTGCTGGGAATTGATGTGTGGTGGGGCTGGCATCCCAGTAATGGGCACCTCATTGACCAACCTTTAGAGGTTTCCCCAGCTCCTAATTCCCCCTCTTCCCCCACAGGCATCTGGCGTAGCAGTTTCTGATGGAGTTATCAAGGTCTTCAATGACATGAAGGTGCGGAAGGCCTCCACCCCCGATGAGGTGAAGAAGCGCAAGAAGGCAGTGCTGTTCTGCCTGAGCGAGGACAAGAGGAACATCATCCTGGAGGAGGGCAAGGAGATCCTGGTAGGGGAGGTGGGTGAGACGATTGAGGACCCCTATCTGCACTTTGTCAAGATGCTCCCCCACTCTGACTGCCGCTACGCCCTCTATGACGCCACCTATGAGACCAAGGAGAGCAAGAAGGAGGATCTGGTCTTCGTCTTCTGGTAGGGCTTGCCCCCACCCCATTCCCTCCAGGGTCCGCGCCCCTTGCCTTGGTCACTCCTTGGTCCCCTGCAATGGTGTGCCCCTCAGCCCTGCTAGCTGGGTCCATCCTAAGCGCACGCCTGTTCTGGCCATGCTCCTCTCCAGTATTGTGCCTGCTCCACCTGCATCCTCTTCCATTCTGCCTGCTATATTTTGAGCCACACCCATCAGTCTGGGTGGCCCCCTTTGCCCCTCCCCTTTCTGGGGCCCTGTTCCCCTATCCCTGTTCTCAAAAGTCCCCTGGTTCCCTATCCTAGGCCAGCAGTGCCACCCCTTCCCTCTGCAGAGCAGCAGTGAAAGCTGCCTTTGTTCACCCAGTGTCAGCACCCGGCTCCTCTGCTGGGTGGAGCAAGCCCAGCAGAATGCCTGCTGCTAATTTAAAGGGGCTGCTGGCTGGCTAGCTGGCGGTGGGGCCCACAGCATTAGAGCACATGGGAGGAGCTGGGCCTCTAGGAGTGACCCAGTCAGTGCATCTTATGCTGGCTCTGCCAGCCCCCTGAGCCCAGCTGGGGCACCCCCTCCAGGGCACACCACGTTCACAGGGTTTTGAACACTAGCTCTTTCCTGCCCTGGGGCCAGCTGGAGGCTGCTGGAATGGGAACTTGGGAGGCATGAGTAGATGCAGATGCGGGGGTGCTATTAATGGAGGGAATCTGAGTGGGTGCTGGGGTTAGGAGTTATGACTGGCCTGCATTTGAAACTCTGCCCAGCAGTAGATGAATCAGGCCAATGGGACAGGGGAGACTTGGCACCGTCTCTGGGAGCTGCTGCACTGGCTCGAACCTTTTTTGAAGTGGCATTGAAAGACCCTTTTTGTTCTGGGCAAAGAGCCACCCTGACACTAAACCCAGAGCTCCCCCTCTGCCTTGCGAACCCCCCACAATCTCTCTCCTGGGCCTTCCCTACATGGCTGTGCCCCTCTTGCTGCTTGTGCCTCCTGCTGGGAATCTGAATCTGCCTATGGGGTGTTATTGCTAGTGTATAGCAGGGCCCCTTCTCCACCTGCTCCTTTCAGCCTCTGCTGCTGCTCTGTCCTCTTAGCCCTTCAGTCTGTCCCCAGGTGGGTTTGTGTCTGAAACCTCAGGTGATGGCTTGTCCCTTGGGGAAGCCTCCAGTTCCTGAGGTTGGTGTGAGTCCTCCCCTTCTCCCCACAGGGCCCCAGAATGTGCCCCCCTCAAGAGCAAGATGATCTATGCCAGCTCTAAGGATGCTATCAAGAAGAAACTCACAGGTGAGTCAATTCCTGTGCCCCCAGCCCTGCCAGCTCAGGGGGCCCTGGCCTGTGGTGGGTGAGTAAGCTAGCAGCTCTGCAGCAGGATGGCTCAGTGACGGTGCTGTGTGATTCTAGCCTCATGGTCTGCCTGAGCCCAGCTGGAACGGTGCACTGGCAGTGGCCCTGGGGAGCTACCACCTGTGATACCAGGACTCCTGGCTCCTATCCCTGCTCTGGGAGGGAGTGGGACTAATGGGCTAGAGCAGTGTTTCCCAATTGGTGATCCGTGGAACCCTGGGGTTCTGCGAAGAGCCGGCACTCCCCCGTCCCCTCTTAAGTCGACAGAGCTGCGGTGGGAATTGCGGCAGTGGGGCTTTTTTTTTTTTTTCTTTGATGAAACATGGCCCTAGGGTTCCGTAGCCAAATAAAATTGGGAAACACTGAGCTGGAGCCACTTGGTAGTAGTCCAGGAGCCTAGATTTGGTTCCTTGCTGTGCTCTGAGACTTATCCCACTCCCCCCTTGGATGGGAGTATCAGTTCCCTGATGCATGTGACCAGCTGGGAGGTGCTACATAGTCCATGATCCCATGGCAGGATGGCTCAGAGTGGGGTGTGGAAAGGTCCCTGATGGGATGGGGGCAGAGCTGGGAATCCTCAGGTTCCCAACTGATCATGTCCAGGCTAAGGCTTGTTGTCCTGGATATCACACCTTCACCCTGCCCACAGGGAGTGATGGAAAAGGGTATGTCCCAGGTCCTGGCTAGATCCCAAGGGGAGGTGGATCTGGGAGGTAGGGGAAGAGTCAAGCTGGATCCCAGCTATGTTGGGATGATTGCAGCCCATTGGTTCCCGTAAACCTCCATTTCTTCCCTACCTTTCCCCTCAGGTATCAAGCATGAGTTGCAAGCAACCTGTTACGAGGAGGTGAAGGATCGCTGCACCTTGGCCCAGAAGCTGGGCGGCAATGCCGTCGTCAGCTTGGAAGGGAAGCCCTTGTGAGCGGCTCCTAGTGCCAGTTTATACCGGAGCTTCCATGTTAATCAGTCCTGTGCTACCTTTTTTGGGGGTGGGGTTGGGAGGGTCGTGGGGGGGGGATAATTACTTAGATAATGTTCAGATTCTTTGCCTCCTAAGTCTCCTTCTCCGGTTTGCACGATCAGAGTCCCCAAGACACTCCACGGCCCGGCCGTGCCTGGTGTGCAGGGCACCTGCCAAACCCACTGCCTCCTTGGTTACCTGGAATTTCTGCCTTGGAGACAAAAGGGACCATTCCCTGGGCACTGTAGCTTCTCCTCAAGGTCCTGGGCCACTGCACCATCAGAAGGGACCATGCATTGAGCTCCCTAGCTTGGTATCTAGAGACACCAAGAAGGGACCATTCTTGGAGAATGGGAGCTCACTGTAGGTCTTAGGACAGTTCTACCATTCCTAGGGAGCCTTCCCTGAGCTTGGTCTAGTTCTGGGACCATTCCCTATTTCAATTCCAGAAAGTCTCTGACCAACCTCTGAAGGAGACAAACTGGTTTCATGGTCACATTGCCCTCTCCTGACATCCCATCTCAAATACTCCATAGGGCTGAAGCCTCAATGGCCAACCCATTGCTGGCCAGGGCTAGTGAGTGAGGGACCCTCCAACAGCCAACCCAGGTCTTGAGCCACTAGCAGTTTCTGGTGGAAGGTGACATCCTAGTAGCTCCTCTTAACTGCATCCCTGTAGCCTCTTCCTGACTCTGGAATTAAACATTTCTTGTGTGTGTACATTTTTTTAAGAGTTTTGTGTTTTTGAAACAATGAAGGATGCCGATTCTCTGTAGCCCCACCAGAAGAGCTGGGGGTGTTCCTGGAAAGCAAACCCCTGTTGCCAACTTGTCCATGACTTAGTGGCTTTGTGCTTGTCTGTAGTACTGTGTATAAATGGAATATTGTGGAGAAACTTGCAAAATTTAAGTAACTGGGGGCTGGGATACACCCTTCCAGTGGAACTTACTAATATGGAAGCAGCCATTTTCCCTAACTTTTGTAACAATTTTCTTATTGTTGATAATATAGTCATCTTAGAAGTCAAAGCTTTTTACAGGGAATGGAGTTTAAGTATGTGGCACAGGATTTTTTTTTTTTTTTTTTTTGAATTTGGAAGGTTTGAGGTCACCAGGAAAGGTTAGACGGAACTAAGGAGTCCTGGGAGTCTGCAATCAGTGTGGAGGCTAGGGTGTGGCTGCTGCCTTATCAGTAATAGCAGCTGCTTGACAAGGAAGGACACAGAGGGACCTGGGAAGGTCTCTTCCCACAGTGCCTGGCTCCTGATCTAGGCAGCTGGACCACTTCCCAACCCTGCACCTATCTCAGTCCTGGCCCAGATTGCTGGCTGTCTGTTGCACTAGGCTTTGCTTCCCCTGACACATGGCTCCTTAGCCCTGGTAGTGGAGCTGCTGGGGGGGATGGGAGGGAGAGTGAACTACACAAGAGGACAATAGTGCTGCCCACTCCTTGCTCTCACAATCTGTTGGGGCTGCTACTCCCAGCAGCCACCCAGAGTCTCAATGGGGGGTAGAGCCATGCCATGTACTAGCTCAGCAGGAGATGGGGCCTGAATGGGTCCTCTGCCCTCACGGATACATTCCCTCACTTAAGGTGTGGGGGGTTGAAGCCTCCGACAGCTTGACGACCCTGTATGGATGTTCACCCTAGCTTGAGATGCCAGCACAGCTTCTCCGCTCTGAGTGTTTGGGGAGGGTGGGGAGACAGGGGAAGTAAAGGTAAGCAGTGTTTGAAGCAGGGAAGTCCTTGCAGCAGCTGTGTAGGAAGCAGGGCTAGGAAGAAAAATGGGTTTGGCAATGAGGCTGCACTGGATGGAGCTGGATACAAAATGGGCCTTTATTGGGAGAGGTTAGGGCTGGGGGCTACAGAGCTGTGAATGGATTGACTGCATTGGAAGGGCAGAATTGAATAAGAGCTGCCTGGCCATGGTGTGTTGTCTTTCTCCTACCCCTTCTCCCCTCTTTCTGCTTGCCCCTAGTTGCTAGGAGAGGGCATTGAGCCTGGACTCTTCTGCACAGCTAGAAAGGACAGGAAGGGATCTTGAGATCCTCTAATCCAGGCCCCTGCACTCAGGGATGAGTAATAGACCACTACTGCTAGCTCTCTCTCACTTGCTCTTAATCTCCAAGGTGGAGATTCCACACTCTCCCTAGGCATCTTATTTCAGCACTTAACCACCCTGACAGGAAGGTTTTTTTCTAATGTCCAACCTAAACCTCCCTTGCTGCAATTTAAGCCCATTGCTTCTTGTCCTATGCTCAGAGGTTAAAGAGGAAAAACTTCTCTTTTTAACCACCTCTCTCTCTCTCTCTCTACCCTGTGTGGTCCAATGCACAGCAAGGGAGGGTGAGGCAGAGGGGAACAGGCACATTTAAGACTCCTGGCTCCAAGCCTGCCCACTCTACCTCTCTGCCATTCCAACAGTGGGGATAGAACCCAGGAAGCCTTTCTGAAGGAACTGTGGGCTGCAGCATTGGCTGGGAGGCAAGGGAAGTCAGTTAATGGGCTGTTATGGGGTAGTTGCCCCCCAAATCAACTGGCCCCACCCATTCTGCAGAGCAGGTATCGAGGGGCTGGAATGTCAGCAGGGTTGGCTCGGGCAGGGCTGGGTTGAGGCAGCTGCAGTCGTACTGGGGGATCTCTGCACCAAAAGGCTGAGCGGCCCCTTCCACAGGTGCAGGGCTGGGTGGCAGCATCAGACGTCACCTTTCAGCACAATCAGGGTGTTCCGGAGCAGCAGGCTGCTGGCCTGGAAGAAAGAGGGGGAGTTAAAGGGGAGGGGAACACTCACCCCCACAGTGTGATGCTCTGGGGTAAACTGGGATCCCCATCAAACCTAAAATGACCCTTCCCCGGCCCTCACAGCTGGGACAGACCCCAGGAGTGCTGGCTCCCAGCCTGACTGGGAGCAGTGTTGCAGGATTCAAGCTGTGCACAGGGCCCAAGCGTGTGTGTCTTCTGCCCTCTGCTGGCCGCCTCTGGGTATTGCAACTGAGGACAGGTTCTGTGCTAAGAGGGGCATGCAGCTGATGGGAGGGGGACTCAGATAACTCTCCAGACTCCCATCCCAGCATGCAGAGAGCATGTGGAGGTGGGGGAGGGAATAGGGCTCACCAGGGGATAGTGAAACAGAGCATATATTGGGTGAGGAGGGGACCCTGATTGGGTAAGAAAGAGATGGAGGCTTCTGAGGAGGTCTGAGTTCAGGTTTGTAGGGGAGGGAAAGTGTGGGATCCCCAGGGGTTCCCAGTCAGGTTGGAGGAGTCCCTGTGTCTCCACACACAGACTGGGTTGGGGGTTCCCAGGGGTCCCAGGTTGTGGGATTTCTGAGGGGGTCCCCCCAGGTACCTTGGCATGTTTCAGCTCCAGCTCTGCCAGCTCAACCAGGTTCTTGCGAAAGGCAGAGATTCGACGGGACTTGAAATCAGTCAGTTCTGCCCAGGGAGAGAGAAAACCCAGGCGATCTGGAACCCAGCCTCCTGCTCTAACCCATTAGAGACCCCACCCCCCTATCCTTCCTCCCCCCGAGCCAAGGACAGAACCCAGGAGCCCTTCTGTACTTACCTTGCTTGGCGGAAGTTGACAGCCGTTCAAAGCGCTGGCAACACAGCTGCTGATGGGTCTCAGCAGACTTCACTTCCTTGTTCTTCATGCGGGCTTTGTCCAGTGCTTTGTTGGCATTCTCGTAGTCAGCCAGGGCCCGCAGGCGCCGGTACAGCAGATCCTGGAGACACAGACTGTTATACATCTCCATGCTCCACCCCAGAGATGGCTGTATCTCAGGGATGAATGAGAGATCCTCATATTAACAGCCCCACATCCCACCAGAGAACTGGCTGTGTCTCAGTGCTCGGGGAGGGATCTCTGTATAAATAGACCTTGTACCATTCCCCAGAGATGGCTGCATCCCTGCATCATGCTGCCTGTACCTTGGCTGCCTGTGAGTCTCTCATGTAGTATTTGAGCAGGTCAGACAGCTTCAGATCCTCATCTGATGCCACACGGCCTTCTAGCTTCTGGGGAGGAGGGGACAGAAGGAGGTTCAGTAAAGGGGGAGATTAATCCCACAGCTACTGCCCCACCTCACCCTTCTGAACTAACATCACCTCCTCTGCATAGAACTCAAAGGTCACAAACACTCAGCCACATGGGGCACCAGCAAGTGGGTAAGGAGGCCCTCTGAGGGGTGCAGACTAAGGAATATGAAGGTCCTGCCTCCCCACTGTAGGACCTTTGGGGTGGGCTGATCCTGGTTGTGGAGTTCAGGGGAGGGTGGGAAGACACCAGGAGATTGGGTGGCGGTCCAGAGCCTGAGGAATGGTGGCAGGGTGAGGGGAGATGCTGCAGAGCAGGGGGGGCGCATAGCAGAGTAGGGGAGGGGAAAAGACCCTTCAGGACAGGACGGGGGGAGCCATCACTCACCCGCAGCCGTTCAAAAAGTTCTGCCAATTTCAAGAAGCTCCTGGGGAGCGAAGGGGAAATTCATCAGTAACCCTGTACTGCCCCACCACCACCAGCCCCCGAGAGACCCCATGCCCTTCCCCTACATTAGGGCCACTCTGAATGCCTCATTCCTACTGAGATATTCCCTCCAATGTCACATGAACAACCCCCAAGACCAGGGAACCCACTAATCCCACCCCCTTTCCTGATAGCCCCCTCATCCCCTGTGTCCCCTGCATCCTGCCCCGTCACCTGACAGCACCCCATCCCTGTGTCCCCC